ACAAGTCATAATAATAATAATAATAATAATAATAATAATAAACACTTACCCAATACCAAATGTTACCTTCAGAATCACCAGACATGATAAACCTTCCATCTGGTGAAAAATTGACCTGACAAGCATAGCCAGCAACTAAATGTCCGGTAAATCGCTTCTTGCGATGCATACGGAACCGATCTTTAGCCCCATATACAACAATTTGATTATCCAATGATTGACAAGCTAGCCATTTTTCTAAAAATAAATAGTCGTATAATTTTGAGTAATTTATATAAAATTTATATCAGAAAATAGAATGAGAATGATAATCACTATTTGGATGTAAAGTTACAGCGGGCATGCTGTGCATATGTGGTTCAGCAATATATTTGATAACTACTGGAATATCAAACTCCCATGCTCTTAACGTCTTGTCATCTGAGGTTGTAACAAATCGTCTATTCTCATCTACAAATGTGATAGTGTTCACAGCACCTAAATGTTGATCGTATTCTTGCGTGACTTCACCAGTATTGATATCAAACTAACCGATGACGAACGAATGAATGAATGAATATTGTTAACAAAATATGCATGTTAAAATTCATATATGTATCATAGAAACTTTACCTGTACGATTTTTTTATCTGAACATCCAGCCAAAAATACATGTTGTTTATCCTCGTCAGGATTAAATTTTACAACATATGCAATCTTTCCCGTTGTGAATGATTTAATGCATTGCCCTATCGAAAATATAATGTCAAATTTAATTATAAGGTTCTAAAAATATGATCATGAACAAATATATTTACTCATCACTCGTACCGGTTTCTGTATCCCACAATTTGATATATTTATCATAACTAGCTGTCAAGAATCGTTTTCCATCGTTACTAAATGTAATATCACGCACAGCTTTATTATGGCCCATATAAGTTCTCAAACATCTACGATCATTATAAACATCCCAGATCTAATATGTGAATGTAACACAAAATTAGTAATGAAAACCTTAAATGGTAATTCTATTGTTATATTCACTAAATACCGAATTATAATACCTTTACTTTTGTATCCATACTAGCTGATAATATTAAATGAGCAGATTTTGGGAAAAACCTGATTGCTGAAACACCCTTAGTATGACCAGACCTAAAAACAACATTTTAGTTATTAAAGAGATACAAAGAAGCATGGGTCACTTCATCTACAGAAAATATATTTTTTACCATGTATGAATACAACGTTTTGGAATAAAACATTCTTGTGAACCAGGTTCCCCTAATAGATTTACATCCAAGTCCAGTGGTACGTGCATATAAGTTCTACCTTGATAATCGAATTCGGATTTCCCTTTAAAATTATAAAAATAAGCAAATTACAATAAATACTACATAGTAATTGAAGTCGAATTTTCATAATAGACATATTATAAACATACCATGAAATGTTGTCTTTTCTTGACCCACTTCAATTTGTTTTTTAGAACTAACATCGGCATCAGCCTTTTTAGGAATTGCACCCTGAATTGGACAACAATCAACAATTTTGTGAATTGAATAAATTAAAATATTTTTATCAACATAATTAAAGAAGTAAGATTGAAAAAAAACATGAACCTCTGGAGGACCAACAGCAGTGCCAATATTTTCGCCCTCATAGCCAGCCCAAGGACCTTGATAAGAATCTTCACCTTCTAATATTGCAGAATCACCTTTGGGCTTTCTTTTAGGCGCATTTTCCGATTTAGGAGTTGCATCATATATTGTAGCACCATTCATAGCCATGGCTTTCTCAACATCACCAACAAAACCTGTATTGACAGCACCACCAGAGCTAGTATTGACAAGAGAAGGATCTGCAGCATAACCAAAGGAGGTAAAAGTACGTTGTTGGGTTCTGAAAGCAAATTCGGAATAGGCTTGTTCCTCAACATGGCCAGTGAGAACATTTTG